AAAAAGATTCAACATGTTTAATGTAAGAACTAAAAATAAAAAGAATTTAACTGAAAGAGTCTGATTAAAAGTAATTCCCACTACATGAATCTGCAATCAGTTTCATTTATATCTTTCTTCACAATTTTCCTTTATATGCACCAATTTAATAATTATCTTTTTTACTAAAACATTTGTAACCTGTAAAAAAAATCCTATACAGGAATATTGAGCAAACCAATGGCATGAATTTGGGGCGGGACTATCTTGGGCTATCTTGGCCAACCAATGGCAGACGTGAGCAGCATTCAGGAAACCTGTCTAAAAACACTCACTATTTTTAAGAAAAAGGTTTAATGTACAGCTATGACGGGCAGAACATTGGTCCAATGAGATTTCATTGTGGGCGGGGCTACCCAGTGGAATGCTGCAGAAACAGAAAGGACAAAAACTCTCACCGGTACAATGAAGAATTTTACCGCTTATCACGTCGCACCTGCTTAGGACACGGTGTAAATCTACTGATGCCAATGTGCACTGGCACGAAAGAGCCTATGCATTTCTGGAATCGTAAAAAAGGGACTGAGGTACAATTTACCGAAGCAGTGATGCAGATGACCAAACAGCAGTTTTTTTGCGGTGGCAAGTTGGCAGTCAACTCACCTGTAAAAAGGAGGAGGGTCACCTTGTGCCTCACAACTGAAAACCACCTCCCTGCTCTTCTCCATGGAGTCTACTGGAAACACAATGCTGCCTGGCTGCTTTGTGAACACGGGGCTCTGCAGCGTTTTGCCTACAGACAGAGAGAGAGAAGGAGAGAAAGAGAAGGAGAGAAAGAGAGCGATCAGCACGCTCCACTTACAGACACCCAACCTGCTTGCAAAACAAGCTATTAGCTGGTGGCTCTGAGCAGGCCAGCACTGGTAAGGCATTAGAGAGTCAAACCACAAGCAGACAAAACATATCAATTAATTCAACTAACACCACGGCAACTGTAATGGAATAGCCGTTGATTGATATAGAACAAGGGTTTGAGGACACGCGTTCATCACTTTCTATCACCCCTGTGGTCTGTTTTTAACCTTCGCTATGGCAGCGCAGTTGTAACGGAAAACGCTTGGGCAATTAGACGTGCTGTAAACGCCTCTCAGTTCTGATTTGAGGCTCTTCGTGTGAAGTGCCACACTGAGATTGTGTAATGTGGTGTTTGGGTTTTGTTTCTTGTTCATTCTTCTTCTTCTTCCGTTTTTTGGCGCATTACATCCTGTCTGCATATCGCCACCTACTTTTGCTGTTATGCAGTCATGGTTTATTTATAATCAATTTCTTACTTGTTTTTGCTTTTCCTGTTCTTACACACGTATATTCACAACTATTCCTACTTAAATAATTATTCAATGCTCCATCCAATTCCTTCTCCCCAGGCTCCACCTGGCGCTGCGTGTTCTTCTTGTTCATTGTTTTCATGTCTTTTATTTTGTAGTTAGGCCTCAGTCATGTTCTGTCATGTGATTCCCTTGTCTGTGTGTTATGTTCTGATTGGTTGTTTTAGTCATGTGTCTTGTGCTTATTAGGTGCGTTCGACTTCATGCAGCACTGCGCAGATCGATCGCAATCTGACTTGAAGCAGTGCATGCCGGTTAGTCATTTTTGGCGATCAGGCAGATTCACCGCATATCAACTATCACGTGTGTTTCGGGTTTATTCTAACCTTTTCAATTTTTGCCTACAGACAGAGAGAGAGAAGGAGAGAAAGAGAAGGAGAGAAAGAGAGCGATCAGCACGCTCCACTTACAGACACCCAACCTGCTTGCAAAACAAGCTATTAGCTGGTGGCTCTGAGCAGGCCAGCAATGGTAAGGCATTAGAGAGTCAAACCACAAGCAGACAAAACATATCAATTAATTCAACTAACACCACGGCAACTGTAATGGAATAGCCGTTGATTGATATAGAACAAGGGTTTGAGGACATGCGTTCATCACTTTCTATCACCCCTGTGGTCTGTTTTTAACCTTCGCTATGGCAGCGCAGTTGTAACGGAAAACGCTTGGGCAATTAGACATGCGGTAAACGCCTCTCAGTTCTGATTTGAGGCTCTTCGTGTGAAGTGCCACACTGAGATTGTGTAATGTGGTGTTTGGGTTTTGTTTCTTGTTCATTCTTCTTCTTCTTCCGTTTTTTGGCGCATTACATCCTGTCTGCATATTGCCACCTACTTTTGCTGTTATGCAGTCATGGTTTATTTATAATCAATTTCTTACTTGTTTTTGCTTTTCCTGTTCTTACACACGTATATTCACAACTATTCCTACTTAAATAATTATTCAATGCTCCATCCAATTCCTTCTCCCCAGGCTCCACCTGGCGCTGCGTGTTCTTCTTGTTCATTGTTTTCATGTCTTTTATTTTGTAGTTAGGCCTCAGTCATGTTCTGTCATGTGATTCCCTTGTCTGTGTGTTATGTTCTGATTGGTTGTTTTAGTCATGTGTCTTGTGCTTATTAGGTGCGTTCGACTTCATGCAGCACTGCGCAGATCGATCGCAATCTGACTTGAAGCAGTGCATGCCGGTTAGTCATTTTTGGCGATCAGGCAGATTCACCGCATATCAACTATCACGTGTGTTTCGGGTTTATTCTAACCTTTTCAATTCCAATAATAGCCACAAATTTGTGTTTTTAGAACAGTAAAAGCTTGACAAGTGAAAGCTTTTTTACTGTAGTCGCAATGTTATATTGAGTCATGTTTATCATAAAACACTGATGAAAGCATACATTCCCCCACTTTATTAGTATTTAAATACTATATATTTACGTTGAACTTTATTCTTGAACAGATGGCGATGTATTAAGCAGTGTATAATCAGTATATATCTGTTGCTCATGAAAACGTTTCTGAAACGTCTGTATATTTGACAAATAATTGCATTTCATTCATTTAATCTGTGATAGAGTATGCAAACACCGCGCGAGCGTCACTAACGGGAGCAGAAAGTGTCCGGCTTGACGGCTCCGTTTTCAACTCTGCCCCCGACTGCAAGCGGCTACTCTCGTTGACTGCCGTCTGTAGCCGTGGTTCAAGTCGAACGCACCTGTTGGTTTATGGTCTTGTCATGTGGTGCTCAGTTCTGTTTGTCCATTGGTTGCTTTGTGTCATGTGACCCTTCTTGTTTGGTACAAATAGCCCTCATGTTCCCATTGTTCTTTGTCGTGTATTGATGTTGTAATCTGCTGTCGGTGAGTTAAGTCTGTTTATGACTCGTCACGTCTGTTCAAGTCAAGTCAAGTCTAGTCAAGTCTTCGTTTATTATTCGGATGTTTTGATCACTTGTAAATGAAACTGCATACGGGTTCTCACTACGCTCGCCTTCAGTGGACTGAATCATTACAGATTGCTCACGCAACCTACTCAATTAAAGCAGCATTTATTTTTTTCCCCTGTTTTTTTGAAGCATGTGACCAAACAGGATTAATTAGAAAATAAAACGACGCACCAAGATATTATTTTGGATCAATCTGTTAAATATATTCAGCGACCGCGAACAACTTGACTCTGTCTACAAACACGTCATTCTACTGACAACTGCTTCTCTAATCTCGGGAGTTCAACGCAGGATTCACAAAACACTTGCTGTTGAAAAATGTATCAGTATCCTGTTTATTTGGACCAGCTGCTCCACTTAATCACAACCTGTAAGTATGATACATAATAGATGTTTATATTTTCTATAGAGTGTTCAAAATACAGAACTATTGAAATAGGCATATCGTTTCTGACACGCGCTGTACACCGTAGACCAATCACAACAGACTAGGCCATCTGACCAATCAGAGCAGAGCAGGCTCACGGAAAGGAGAGTTTAGAGAGACTGAATCTTTGAACTGCTTTGAACGAATCGTTTGAGAATCGCTGGAAAATGAAGTGATATTAAATGCATATTTTGAAAAAACGAAAGCGTTTTTTCACCTTGCATGCATGTAATCCTATTGTAGGAAAATCCCAAAACAATATTAGTAATCGTAAAAATGGCATACTAGGGGCACTTTAAAAAAACGTCATTTTAATTAAATGAATAATTCTGGTAAAAGAGAATGCAAAATATACAGTATTAAAAACAATCTAGTGATCAGCTTTAATCACTTTCATGGAAGCAATGTAAATAGTGCCTGGTAAATTGCCTTGTGCATGTTTTTTTTCCCCCATGTCTCAAAAGTGACAAAACTAACAGAATATAATAAGAAAGCTGAAGACACATGGGTAAGGATAATAATGCTACAGTTACAGTTGCAGTGTCTTTTGTTACTGGACAAATTAAGCTTTTCTACCTTTACTATATTTGAAAAGTCCTCACAGTTACATAAAAGAGTCTGCACTGAAAAAAAGTATGATGCGAATGTCACTTGGTTTAATTTACACAAAACACACCTGAAGGCAAAACTATTTTCTATCATTTTACACCTACAGCATTAGCTGATTACATTTGTGCTTTATATGTTTTCACATGTTGTTGGTTAGTGTATGTTTGCTGGCTCTGTGCAAAGAAAACTCATTAAGTATTGCTTAACTGGTAGAAGACTGCTCCCTGGTAGAAGAGATATTGTATCTCAATGGGACCTTCCTGGTTAAACAAGTAAATACATAAATTGCACTTCACCTCACTGGATCTCTGACCAACTGATCTAGCAAACTGTGCAAAAGCGAAGGAAAAAACAGATGAAGTACAACTGAGACTAACTTAGTCTGAAGCAGCCATAAAAAGCTCTAAAGGTCAGCAGATGCGCTAACAAGCAGCAGGAGTGAGCATTTTCTCCCAAAACCAGAGAACATCTGCACATGTTTCAGCTTTAAAATAACAGGAAAAAAAAGCTTTTTTAGCAGCAGGGGGTGTCAGCACATCGTGGTCAGCACATCAAATAAATACAAGCAGCTTAAAAAATATTCAAAACATTATTTAAACAAGCAATAAATGGGGAAAAAGCAGCAGAAATCGTAACGTTTTTCTTTGGGTTCTTTTCTGCGAAATACCTTTAATTCCATTTACTGAAAAATGCTTTATGGTTTGAGAGCTTGTATTGCTTGCAGGAGACAAAGTGAGAGATACACTTTAAGCTTCTTTAAAGGAGCAAAATGTTGGATTTTCTTTTTCCTGAGGTCTTTTCTAAAACATTATTTCTTCTTAGGCAGCTTGGTTGCATAATGCTTTTGCCATAAGCCATGTAAATGTGCTTTGTACCTCAGATAATATTCAAAATGTGTCATCCCCCCACCCCCCCAATACAATACTTAATATATTACAAATATATTTCTACATTTCTTCTGGATATGCAAAAATGAAAAGGCAAATTTGTTTTGTGAAACACATCAGTTTCACAAAACCATGTTCCAAAATTTATAAACAAAAATAGGATATCAGCTCACTCCATATGAAAATCTGAAAAACAATTTGGATTGAAAATGAAATGAAATGAAATAAACAACAGTACAAATTAAAATCCAAACAACAGGCTGTCAGTTCCAACATTTCTATCAAATACCTTTCTAAACATAACAGATTACAGATAATTTTGTGCTATACATTGTCAATGAATATTGATTTATTTCCTATATTTTAATTTCACTCTTAAATTTTTACAATACATTCCAAAAATATTACTAATTGACTTTGATGTATTAAACCGTGATTTAAATCAAATAATTTATATAATTTAACAAACAATTTATAAGTTCAATTTTGCTAATTGAAATCAAGTGACCGCCTGCTTTCATAATTTGAGAATATATGTAACATATT